ACAGCCAGTAATCGATAAAAAAAAAAAAAAAAAAAAACGTCAGGTCGTAAGTGCAGTGATTGGCCAGCTGGTGCTGCAGAATCAGAAGTTCAACAAAAGATTCATGACGATTCTCGCTCAAGATTATCTATACAGGTGGCTCTGTGTTGAGAGGCAAACGAAGTATATGGGGGTTTATAACAAAAGCGAATGGATGTCGCTTAATGCAACAAAGCCTGGCATATGATATAAAAACGTCTAATCTGAGAATGGAGGTGGAGGCAGTCACTGATGCCTTCCGCTGACTTGAGAATCAGCTGTACACACATGCCGCGATAGTAACTGACGCACAGAGCATGTTGAGAAAGGTGGAGACAGGTATGCTCCGTGCAGAGTGACAAGCAGCACTTCAATGGTCTCGGGTAGTTAGCGTCCAATAGATATTTTCTCCAAATCATGTTTGTGAGTTAGAAAATGAGCAGGCAGACAGACTGGCCGGCTCTGCACCACTTGGTAGTAAATTAATTTTTTTTTTTTTCCATCGAACACCGGCTGTGAATTCCAGTGGAAGGTCCCGGTTAATCGTCCGCTTGGACTTTTGGCCTTCACCTGGACCTGATTTTTGCGTGTACAACCGTTTTTTATTTCCCTGCCTCTTGGGCAGCTGTACGCCGACTTCGAAGGAAGACGTCAGGCCTATTTCTAGGGTGACTGTGGCCATTGTTTTGTGTGGGTCGAGACTGCCTGATTTGTGTGGTGTCCGCCTTGTCTCCTTCGCCGCAGGTATTGCCCCCGGAGTACCCCTTTGGGGCAACCCCCTGTGGAACAGTTGGCCCTCAAGGGAAGGCAGGGGCAGATCATGGGCATTCCCCGCCATCCAAGGAGGCTTCCATGCATGCAGAGCCGGCACATGGCGCTCTGGTTCTGGGCTCACCCAAGGAATCGTCACGTCCTGCACATGCCTGCTTAACCTCACAACCGTATCAGGCCTCCAGCTCGACAGGGGCTGCGCCCTCTGGAAGTCAGCGGGGAGCAGCCCGTTGGTTTTGGACTTTTGTGACCACACAGATAGGTACATTAGCCCGGCAGAATTTCACATCCTGAATCAGGCATATCGTTATTCGTTTTGTCCCAACACTCGGGCGAGTGGGGTCTTTGGGTGTGGACATTCGGCCTTTTGCATTTCAGTGCAAATTTTGATGGTCAGATTTTGATCCGTATGATCTAGTTTTGTCGGACATTTAGGCTTAGCCATCCGATGGATGGTTGCTGTTGTGGTGTACCACAGCGCGGTGACGACGACACTGAGGGTTAACCGAGGATGTACGCGACTGGTCAGTCTATGGATGGTTGCTGTTGTGGTGCACCTCAGCGCGGTGACGACGACACTGAGGGCCAACCGAGGATGCACAAGGAAGGCCAGCCCATGTATGGTTTCTGTTGTGGTGCACCTCAGCGCGGTGACGACGACACTGAGAATTAACCGAGGATGAGCATTGAGCAATGTTCTCTTTACTCAGCAGTCTTTTAACCAAGGGTTGTGATTTTAGCTGTACTTTTGTCGAACCTACTCATGTTCCTAATGAGTTTTGATAACATTTTTCACCCAAGCGTTTGGGGGCGGGCTGATGAGAGCCACAAGGACTCATCACCTCTGGGGGCCGCCAAACTCCGAGATCCCCTGACAGCTCTGTTAATGCTCATTTGAGACATTATCCGTGGCGCACGACGAGGACGTGCTGTAGGGGTCTTGCGTGAGGTTCCGTACAACCAGGATATTAAAGGACTGGCGCCCGAGTGACGTACGGAGTATCTCCTTATACACATCATGTTGGACTTAACTTCCCCTCACGCCTGTGACATAAATCACCGCGCCACAGTAAATTAATGAATGACAAGCTAGATATTGTGAGGGCCCTTTGGGAGCGAGTGAACAGTGCCGAGACGCAGATAGATTATTACGATCTGAGGAGAATGGCGCTGCGAGGATTACCAGGGGAGCTGGCAGACACTCAACGCTCAGGGGAAGGGCGAGACGGATATACAATCAGACAGTTACTGGCAGTGTTGCCACTTTGGATGTTTTACATCCAGATTTAAATGTTTTTCCCTTGCATTTAGATGACATTTTTTGACGTTTAGATGGTAGATGTTTTTCTAGATGTTTTTCATTTGGAGTGAATTTATCAAATCTAACCTAAGAAACAGGATACATTTGACCTCTTAAATGTTATCGACAATAAAATTTTGCCTGATAAGAGCTAACTTTATCCTGTGGATCTTGTAAGGCAGACTTCAGTAAAGATGAGGACATAATTCTATAGGGTAAGTCGTATCAATTGCTATGTAATTTGTGACTCTTTCCATTTGGATATTTTTTTATAGATGTTTTTTACGCAAACTTAGATGTTTTAGGTATTTTCTGATTCCGTTTTGGATGTTTTTTGTCCCAAAAAAAGTGGCAAAACTTGTTACTGGTACCATAGGAACTGGAACTCTTCGCTTGCTGCTGAAGATGGGAACAGAGAGCTTATGGGAGTGTCCCGTATGTGGTGATGTCGATTCCTAATTCAACATTTTACATATTTATATTACTGTCTCAACGGGTGGATGATTCTACACTTTGAAAAGAGATACCGTTAAAAGAAACCATACTAATATTTGATTGTTTTTTTTTTTTTTTTTTAATTATCTTTGTTTTCCCCTTATGGATTTTTAGTTTAGACCACCTAGCTGTTGTAGTATTTCATTTATATTGCGTATGATTCCATGAGTGGGACAGGAGAGAAATATCATCCGCGAAGTCCGGATCATCAAGCTGTTTCGTATGGGTCCTGGTAGCAGCTGTCGGTGTCTTCATAATCCAGTCTATTGCCAGTAGAAATAGAAGAGGCGACAAAAGACATTCCTGTCGCATAACTGTTCTTTTTTCAAATGTACTATGGGGTGACCCGTTTGCTATGAAGCTGAAACTAGAATTACCAGATTTTTTTCAAATGTATCTTCTAGCTTTCCTTCATGAAAATGTGGACATTTCATGTCTTTACATGTTGCAGACAGGAGGAGTACACGGATCAGTAATTCGGGGCAAGCGAAGTGCTGGGCGTATATAGTAAGCTCAAAAAGGGGGGTCGGGGAGGGGGAGAGACCATCAGGGAGATGATTAGCGCTTTCGCTGTTACAGCTAGCAGTGTTACAAGGACATTAGCATGGCATGGTACCCAAGAGTTCACATATGCGTGCTTACTTAGCGACTTGATGAATATGCTTTAAAAAATCCAAGCTGGCTTTATCAGGTAAGAATGGATTGCAACACTAAGCACTTTCTGAATGGCTGCCTTAATCTTCATCTTTGTGCCAGGTCTTGCGGGTGTTCAAGAGAGCGAGCGTGCAGATTATCTTGCCGACACTGCGGTTGCTATGGCTGGTCGAGCGATGTTATCAATACCATGCACAGCTCTCACCGTGACGACGAGCACGCCAAAAGGCATGACACCGCATTCATGACTAGACTGATTGACATGGGAGTGCAGCCTGGAACTGCAAGAAATGAATATTTCACTAAGTTGACAAGACCTTTCATTAACCTACACAGTCAAGTGTCATAAGTCTTTTAACACTTGTGAAGCTTTTGAGGACATCGGAGCACCAACGGATCTGTCCGAAGTGCTGTGATGATAATCCTTACTACACTAGACTTCAAAATGGACGCTAGGCACGGCCACTGTTTTGAGCCGTGGTAAAATTGTTGCTTCTGCCAGGCGGTGGTCGTTGCATTTTCGCTCCAATTGTAGACTGAAAGGATATAGTTTCGTCACCTAGCTTCTGATTTGAGTGCATGGCGTGACCCTGTAAGCTGCGGATTTCATTTTCATTTGGAATGTATTTCGACCGTGACCAAAGTGGTGGTGTAAATTGTAGATTCAGAAAATGGCGCGATGCCCATTGTCACAATATTAGTGATGCCATTAAAAAAAGTTTGTTGCGTATCCTTTACAGGACGTTGCAGAACCAACCCTAACAGCCCCTGGCTGTTGTGTGGTTTCTCTAGGCAATTTACATCCAGTAGTTTGCCATTGCTTTCTGGACGTTCGGCTTTCTTGATACCACTGTCGAAACCAATGCAAGGCGCATTGCCCGCAGCTGGGATCGAACCTGGCATCCCGGCATTACGAAGCGAAGCGTTCGCATCGACTTAGCCACAGAGCCGACCTTTATGTGATTAAAATTGATCGTGTGTGCAACTACTGATCTGTTGGTGATTTCTGCTACTATCCACGATGAACTGCATTTCTAATGTCGGACTGTTTGTGTTAGCACTTTGGTTGGCTTCTGTATGCTTTTAATGCGTGTGTATGCTAGTGCATATGCTAAAACAGCAGTCTGTCAATCTTTCCACAAGGGTCTATGATAATAAACATTCTGTGTATTTTTCGTTGGCACAGAAGCGGAGCAACTATAGGGTGACACATTTACTATATAACTGAAACTAAGATTACCATGAGGGCAGACAGATTCAAAGATGAGCAACTGAAAAACACGTCATAACACACGTGATGACATATCTGATCCTGAAATCCCGTGAAAGTTTTGTGTAAGATTCTTTTTAACGCGAGCAGGTTTTACTAGTCACACCCGCCCTTGACATATGGTGTCGCTCATGCTTCCCTATAGCACAGTATTTACTGTAAATATTCACAGGTCAACGTGTGTCAACGTGTTTGACCTACAACCAAACCTAATACCTTGACACCCAAGGGCTGCCAATGCTGGGTTTTCCCCCAGATCTGGGTTTTTACAAGTCGCCTTGGGGAAATCTGTTTTTTTTTTTAAATATATCCTTATATAAAAGTGGTAAATGTTTCGTTACGTAACTATAAATTTTGTACATTTTAACAATCTGGGTTTTTTTTGGTTCTTTGTTTTTGCATTGCTTGGGTTTTTGTTTAGCAAAGCTGGGTTTAAAAAAAAAAATTCATTGGCAGCCCTGGCACCTGGCAGCTTGCATGTCAAAACTCAAAATGGCGACGTCCAGAATCTTGGTGTACGGTGGCAAAGGAGCACTGGGTAGCGTTGTAGTTAACTACTTCAAGTCCAGAAGTTTTGTAAGCATAACCATTTAAATTTGGATCAGTATTAAGAATTAAAAAAAAAAATTTAGTGTGATTTCTTTTAGCGCATGCATTTCCCCTTTTTCTGTTACTTTTACCGCATTGAGGTGTACGTAACTGTAAGTACTGACAGGAGAGTGAATGGAATGATGACAGCACCAGGACTAGTAGTTTAGACAGTTTAGTAGTAAGACTAGGCTGCTCTTCTGTGTAGGACTCCTCTGTATGATGTACTGACGTAGGTAGGTTAGTCCTATTATTTAAGTATGTTGGTTTTGGCCTTTACTTAACTTTGTAAGTCCCAGGGGTTTTAGTTTTAGTTTAGCATCAGTGGCCCAAGGCGTGGTAATGAAATTTTTTAATTTCATAGTATCTTACTATACTATCAGTAACACATTAAAAAAGACCATACTAATTCAATTGCCGCGCATAACACTCAATTTGCCTGTAATTTTGTAGCTATGATCCAAAAATTTAGGATTTAGTCTAAATAATAAGGGGAATAGCACTATAACTGACACTGACACTAAAGAAAATCGGGCTCTCCTTTCAACTAGGCACTACAGTTTCGGAAATTTGCGATCTTTTCGACAATTTCCGTTACCATAGAAACCGTTTAAAACTTGTTTCGGAAATGTCGGCTGGGGTTTCGGGATGGGTCCTAATCTCTCATGAAATTTTGCGATTGGTGTGGTTTTCACCCACTCTAAATAGCTGAAAACGGCGGGAAGGAACTCGATTAACAGCGCATGTCTACGAAAGCCGGACGTTCTCTGTTTTTCTGTTAGTCATCAGTTTGATTGAAAATAGCGGTAAATTCGAGGTTGGCTATAGGCTTTAACTGTTACTGTACCCGGTAATGCTAGTTATAATTGAATTCTCCGTCCAATTTTACATTTGTGTATAAAAAAATTTTTCTGGTACGTGGCTAGGTAGATGTACAGTGACATTTTTTAGGCAATCGCATGCCGCTGAGTGAGCTGAGTCTCATTGCCTGCCATCTTGTCCAATGACAGTCCAATGTCAACAAAGCCGATACAGAACTGCGCAGTAGGTTGCGCAGTCAAAAACTTCTTGTTTCTGGGTCACAAGTTTTAGCGGCTGTTTCTTACATCTCATCTCCACAAAAACCTACATATCTCAGCTCAGAAATGACATACAAGCCTAAATGAGGTACCATTGGAAAGAAATTGTTTACAGCTATCTAACTGTGCTGGTTTTATTGGTGTAGAGGGCATTTTAAAAATTTGACTGAAGTACCTACTTTCAACTACGGCTGGTAGACAACAGTAGACGGCCGGTTAATCGGAGTTCTGTCCCCTTGCTGCAGTGCAATTATGGAGTGGAAAGGAGGGAACGAAACAAATGACATAATTACTGTGTGTTGGCGATAGACAGCGTGCACTGCCCTGCTATAATCATATGGTTACGGTTTGGGTTAGGGGTAGGGTGTGGGTTAGGGTTGCGGTTAGTGTCGCCGCATCTCGTCTTAGCACAAACTCATAGTAGCAACCCAAACACTAATTGTATGATAACAGTAGGGCACTGCACGCTATCGCCAACACAGTAATTATGTCACTTGTTTCGTTCTATCAGTTCCACTCCGTAATGCGTCGCAAGAAGCGGTAGTTGAACGCGGTAGCTAATTTGAGTCGCAGCGCGGGGTTTGCCAGGCATGTCGACCTCACTGTGTTTTTTTATTCGTGCCTTCTCCAGTCCGTAATTGCACTGCAGCCAGGGGACAGAACTCCGACTAACCGGCCGTCTACTGTTGTCTACCGGCCGTAGTTGAAAGGAGAGCCGAAAATCCTCTTTTCACAATTGTTTATAGTGTATTCTGTTAGTGCCAGCTGACTAAGCTACTGTTGTACCCTTCGCGTGAGGTACACATTAGACATATCCCTCATCAAAGTTGCACTCAATAACTGACTGAAATACGTCTAATTCGCAATGTTATCTAACTTTGGACCGATCGAATAAACAGCTACTTTTTTTTAAATGATGAGGCTTCTAAAGCCGTAAATCATGTTGGCATGTATTTAGAATATTGCTTGGCGGCCATATTCTTTTTAAACAAACACTTATTAACTCGATAAATCTCGCAAATATATTTTCAGCTTTCAAACCACATTTCTAAATGAGCATACCTGATATCAGACACAAAGAACTCGAAAGGAAGTTGAAATTAAGCGGTCCACGTTTTACAACTGGTCAGTGGTAGATTAAAAACCTTCACTTGTCACGCATCAATTGGGGCGCACAGTTAAAACAAATTAACGTGTGACGCGTTCCCTGAGTTAATATCATTTGATATATGACTAGCCCAGGTAGAGTAGACATCTCGTTAAATGATGGTGATACGTCTACCTCAACGAAGCCTGTAGTATTCTGTATCAAACTTGTCAGTTTTTGATTTATTTGAAATTAATTTTCAAAATTAGTTTGAATTTTGTCTCTGTCCAATGATTCATCATCATATAAAAATTTAAACTGTATGAATGACAGACTGTCACAACCCTGTGAGTACAGTCAGTGGCGGAATGTACCACACCGTAAGGTGTGCGTGTTGAGGTGACACCCCAGGGTTGACACAAAGGTCAGGGCCATGACTGGTCAAGTCTGTTCTGTTATTGCACGGTGAAACCAGCGCTCAGGATAAAGTGCTTGGCCACGACAAGAAAGAGTGAACTTTGTTGTAGACAAGTCCGCAACACGATTACCCCTTTTGGGACTGAGCTGGTGAACGGGGTCAAGAGACACGAGGTGGAGAGAACACGGACATTCGGTGTGCGACGGTCAGACGAAGCAGACGTGTTAGCGAGACAGTGATAGTATATTAGATTTATTTCTGTTAGTGACTGCATAGATTATTTACAGTGTTCTGTTAGAATAGGATAGTTTTTGTGCTCTGTATTTAACTAGTACAAGGTATTGTGTTGTTCCATAAGAAGTAAATAGGTTCCAGTTACTTCTGACCAGTTAAATCAGTTGCGTACATGTTCTGTGAGAGAACGTCTAACCTTGGCACTCTGACCCTGCACTAGACAGAGGCTGTGACAGTTTGATTGGGTCAGCGTGGCGATAGAAAAGAGCGTATCTCGCCGTGCTGTGGTTTGTGCACCAGGAGATTGCCTGTAGCACGTACTGGGGAACGAAGCGATTGTAAAGCCCGTTCGGCCAGAGGGTCCAGGCAATAGGTGGCCACACAGCAGGAAGTCAACTGTCTATTGTATTATCTGTACTTACAATAAAGATTGTCGTGTGTGCTCTGTTTGCGTGCGGGTTCAGTGTGTGTTAAAGGTTAGTTTGTCTGTCATAGGCCCAGTTACGAGCCACGGACCAGCAAGGTCACCCAGAGGTCTGTGACACAGACTGCAAGATAGTTTGAGGTTGACTTATTTATTTTTATTCTTTTCTCAATATCTGCTTATGCCGCTAAGCGTCACAGTTTATCAGACGATTGGCAGCTGAGTCACTCAGTCATGGCACGCTCAGTCGCTTGATATTCCGTGATGTTATGCAGTCTCAAGGTGTCATTGACTCCTTCAATCCATATTCTTCTCTGTCTTCCCCTGCCTCTTGATGTTTCTTTTTTCAGGTTGTATGCTCTTGCTACTGGTTTGACTTATAGTATATGAAATAGCAAATCAAATTTTACCCATGTACTGGTCATGGTTTGGAAGGATTTAACATTTTATTAAGAATAAACAACAGAAATACAGAAAAAGGGTTTGTGATTTATAGTATACACTTATGCCTGGATGATTTGGAACACCATAATATACTGCATCTTATGATTCTTAATCTTGTCCATAAAAAGACCATAATTCAGCTGAGCTTTGCTGCACTACTAATACAAATTTTTTTATTTTATTGCAATGATACATAGTTTAAGTTTAATCTAACGAGTGCTTTGAAAAAAAGAAAGTTATAATAAATACTTAAATAGGCAAATTTTATCAGCGTGTTGAGCACAAAATATCATAAGTATAATCAATTCTTGGTCCTATATAATGACTAAAATGTTTAACAGTCACCAGTTTATTTTGCATTTGAACAAAGAAGACACAAACAATAGATTGCACAATTTATTGCCTTGCAAATTTCGCCATATCTCTTCATGTGCATACTACAGTAAGAATTGACTTGATTAAAAATGAAGTAAATAAATGAATCATTGGTATTGAAACACAAAATCGACTACATTCACAAATTGTCCAGGGTAACTGCAAGGTGAAGTGCATGTCCTTTTGTCTGCATAATTCTGGACTAAACCAGCTGACACTTCAACAAATCTCAGTAATCTACGATCGGCCAAACTGTAAATCTAAATGAGTCATCCTTGTTTGCCATGTGCTCAGAATTTATAATATGGCACACAATTGCTGATAATGGATTTGGTTGACCAGTCACCTTATTCATTGTTGTTGAATTGTTGTTAAGTGTTCTGCATTGCTTTTGCTATCCATAATGGCGTCTGTGGCTTAGGCGTTGCGAACGCGCTTCGTAATGCCGGGGTGCAGAGTTCGATCCCAGCTGCATGCCTTGCGTTGGTTTCAACAGTGGTATTGAGAAGCTGAACGTCCAGAAAGCACTGGCAAACTACTGGACGTAAAATTGCTTAGAAAAACCACAACAGCCCAAAAAATCCTGGGGTTGGTTCTGCAACATCCTGTAAAGGATACGCAACTAACTGGAATATATAGCAACTCATTTCTCCAGTCATCGATCAATTTTGCCCACATATGCATTGTTACATGTGCATTACAATTGGTAAATACATTAGATTTGGCATACTAGTGGCGTAGGAATTACAGTGGTTTTAAATTTGATAACAGTAACAGGCATATGGCTGCATAAAAAGTTTGACTGACCGCTGTTTTGAGTCTGTCATGTAAATGTACATAACATCATCTCCCTGAAAAGTTAGATGGATATAAACAGGTTATTTTGTTTTTGGCACCAACATTTCTATGCTAATTGGTTTGGACAGGTAGCATTGGCGCCTTATAAAACCACCTGGACATCCATTATTCTCATGTTTCCATCAGTCCCATATAAGGAGATTATATGTCTATTATTTGATTTTAAAAAAAATATGGTTGCTATGGCTAGCATAAGATGACGGTCTCATGATTCAAGGAGAATAGGGTGTAGAGAACAGAAAGAATATTTTAAGAAGATAGTTAATTATAACAGTGTCTGTGACTTCATTACATCAATTGTGTTATGATTTATGTTTTTATAGTGGGTTGGTTCCATTGACCTGACATTGAATGAACATGCTGATGGCAATGTCATTGTGAAATCTGAGTGCTCCTTGCCTGAGCAGGAGGCTGATGTGGTGAAATCAGTGGGAGAACTGCTTGGTGAGAACAAGGTGGATGCTATCTTCTGTGTGGCTGGCGGATGGGCTGGTGGAAATGCTAAAAGTAAGTTTTTATGCTGAGATGTTGAATAAGATAAATCAGTGAATCAAGAATTTATTTTGCTCCGCGTGAGAAATTCCCACGCATGCTGTAATAGCTAAGAAAGAGTTCCTATGCAGATCTGTCTTTACATCTTTGATCTGTCGTCCCCCCCCCCCCAGCTCCAGCCTTCCTCTTTTTTCCTTCCTGACATATTTTGTCTTTTTCCACTACTACCCCTCAGTTTACCATACATACATGAGTAAATATTGGGTAAGCAATGGAAAACATTTCAGAAAGTTTGCTAAGAAGATCTACATTATCCCTATTTATTTAGATAAAGTCAAGGGCACAAATGTTGAAAATGGAGATTACAGTAAAATTGGCAGAGTGATCTGCATGCCACTTGCTAGGCCTCTGGGTGTCAAAGTCAGCCAGTGGGCTGTCAGTTAAATAGGCCTGATCTATGCTATTGTGTCAGAGTGTTGAAACAATTGGAGAATTTGTCGTTGTTGAATAAGAAAGTGAGGTGACTGGTAGTTTGTGAATGTAGAATGACTCATACCCAGAACTGGAAAAATTTAGACACAGCTGTGATAAGACCGAGTAGTCTTAGATATCTTGACTGCCAATATTCTTTTTGAAAAGAGTCTTGAAGTTATTTTACTGTCATATTTCCAAAACACAAAACACATCATTTTTTTCTGTCTTGTATTCCCCAGTGGAGCATTGAACTTCAGCAGTTGCCAACATATGCCAAGCCTTCTATCCACATTAGTTGTAATTTCTAAATACTTCAGTATCTTGTGCCTTATCTGTTTCTTACTCCTCTCCATGTATGTTTTTTATTCTGTACATTTCATAAAAATACTCATTCTACTTGCCATAGGAGTATGGAAATAAATAATTTCTGAGAAACATTAGTCTGATGTATTTGTTTCCGCTGTCAGAGATTGTAGCTGCTGCAGACTCCATGTGGAAACAGTCAGTCTGGCCATCGGTGATCACCGCCAGTTTAGCATCCAAGTATCTGAAAGACGGTGGTCTTATCACATTGCCTGGAGCTCAGGCTGCCCTTCAGGGTACACCAGGTGGGTGTATATTACCAGATTAATTGATTATCAATTATAAATACAATCTTTATACCGACATTAGGTTATCAATGTCAGACTTGGACATTAACAAAAGAGCACGATAGAAGACTAACCACCTGTGAAATGAGATGTTTGAGAATGGCTGCGAATAAAACCAGAAGAGATCGAGTGAGAAACGATGTGATTACAAGAATTATTGGAACCATACCCATCGTTAAATTTATTGAGAAGCAAAGAATGAAATGGTTTGGTCACCTAATGAGAATGGAACCAACGATGCCAGCAGAGCATACAACATGAAAATCGAAACACCAAGAGGCAGGGGAAGACCAAGAAGAAGATGGATTGAAGGAGTCACGGACAACTTGAGACTTCATAACATCACGGCATATGAAGCGACTGAGCGCGCCCTGGCTCGGTTGCCGATCATCTGATAGACTGCGACGCCTAGCGGCACAAGCAGATTTTGACAAAAGAAGAAGAATTGATTATCAGACAAACTGATTACGTATTATCATTGTTATAGTTCTCAAGGCACACAGACGACATTTGAATATGCAGACATATAGATGTGCTTTGAAGATTGTGAGTTTGATTCCAGACTTTTGTCCTTTCCTCTTTATTCACCCCATCTCTGGGACAGTGAGATTTCATGGGGAGTTCCTGGGAACGTCCAATAGTATAGGCATGTTAGATTGTGAAATAAACACAGGCTAACACTAACCCTATGCCACTCTATAATATTATACTTTCTCAGAAGCTCCCCCACAAAATATCGTAGTCGGGGTGAACAAAAAGTACCTAGACTTTATTCTACAGTTCGCCAGTGCAGGTTTACCCCTTCATTGAACAAAAAAAAAAGTGATAACAGAATGCTGCTTCTCTTTTGTGCATGTCAGCAGTGGTGTGGCCATCTTTAAACTGTCATTATGACATGACTCTGTTTGTCTGCACCGTCCACCTGCTTAACACTCTTGACATCCTTAACACTATTGACAGGTTACACGGTAATGGCATGACTATTGTAATTTCTATCACACCTTTGAGGTTTTCATTTAAATCTCCCTCATAGAAAGATCAAGACAAGACAGATTACTATGTAATGGAGTGATAAGGGTGCTTCATAACTAGCCTAAAGGTTGATACACGATGATAGTGGTGTGTGGTTTAATCAACCAGTCGAGTATTGTATTTATTTATTTATGTCTTATTCAATCAGCTTATAAATAAATCAGACTTGTCTATGTTATGCCATTTACTTTATACAGAATATCAGACTATTTCAATTTTAGAAAAACCATTAATAGAATCTTACATCTGACTCTTCGTTTGTTATCTGTATGGTAGGTATGATAGGATACGGCATGGCGAAGGCTGCAGTGCACCAGCTAGTCAAAAGCTTGGCCGGGGAAAATAGTGGTATACCTGCAAATTCTACTGTCTTGGCCACCCTTCCGTAAGTATAATCATTTGAAATTCTGCGATCATGTAACATTTGTTTTTATCAGTCATCATTTATGGTAACCAAATATCATTTTGTGTTGATAAGTCATTATTGATAGGTTTTGTTGACTTGTCATTATGCTGTGTTGGCCAATTAACATTATGCTGTGTTGGCCAATTATCATTTGCCTTGGCTAAACATAATTTAGTCTGCAAGGTATAGTCATGACTGGCACTGCAACCAGCACTTTTGGGGACCGCTACCTCATTTTGAAAAATTGAAAAAGAAAACTAATAGCCGGCTTCTGGCCCACAAGCTAACCTGACCTCATTATGGTGTGGACTGGTAACTAAGGGGAAATGGTCACTTGGAGAGGGTTGAGCCCTACCAGTGTTGAAATACTGCCATGTTGGCTGATTAGATTGTTCTACACTGGCTTCAGCATCATAATGATGAATCAGCATTTAGCGTTGACTAAACTTTTTTTTGTATTTTAATCCTTGAGCTCTGTCGTTCAGTTCCCATGGTGGGTTAGGTTAGTTGCGTATCCTTTACAGGGCGTTACAGAACCAACCCCAACAGCGCCTGGCTGTTGTGTGGTTTTTCTAGGCAAATTTACGTCCAGTAGTTTGCCATTGCTTTCTGGGCGGTCGGCTTTCTTTATACCACTGTCTAAACCAAAGCAAAGCGCATGACCTGCAGCAGGGATCGAACCCGGCATCCTGGCATTATGAAGCGCTCACATCGACTTAGCCACAGAGCTGACTCCCATGGTGGGTTGTTTATTTAAAAAAAAAGAACAAAGCACCATGGAAGAGACTGGGATCTCACGCACTTAAAATTACCAAAGGTTGCTGTGGTAATTGTAGACAACTTTCATGTGGAGGTGGCACACAAAATATTTTTGAAACTTAACACATTGCTGTCTAAGACAGATTGTTGGTCCAAGACTGTCCCAGGTACAACATATCAAGGCAGAACTTTTGGCCACGAGAAACACCAGTGCAAGCCAAACTTTGTAGGTTGCTGATTGTATTACAACAGATACTGAAGTTCATACTAGAGACACCACTGCAGATACAGATAATCTGTTTCAAACGGGTGAAAGAAGAAGTGAAACGTTTTTTTAAGCTGAGACTAGAAGCAATATTGAAGTCATCATACTATCTTGCATGGATTATCCATGTTCTTCATCATTTTGGGATCTCAAATATGCCTGTTTGTGTGCTAACATTGGAAACCCTTCAAGAATCTCTCATGCTGTTTTATCTCACTTTCTTTACATCTTTCCAGCTGTTAAACTATTTTTAGGTTTTCTTTTCTGATAATCTTTTTCTTCTTATAGCCCATACCATGTGGCATTGGTTGTCTATCCATAACCTCCCATCTCATGTACTCTCATTCAGTACTGACTGATGATCTTCTGTGCCTTGATGTCAAACTGTCCAACCCCTTCTCTCTTGGTCTCCCTCATTTCCTCTTTAACTTTCCCACCATCACGATGTACTGCAGCTGTCTCCTTCTCGTGACATGACTAAAGAATCTATCTGATAATGGAACTACAAATTACAACTGCATTTTATGTGTACATGTAACTTCCAGTGCTTTTTTCTTTCCTAAAACAAATATACTCACTGATCTTGTTCTCCTTTTGCAAAAAAACTTGCATACACACACAGCAGCTAACCTACTTCCTCAGTTTGCTTGGCATATGCAACATTCTGCTCACTGTTTAAGAATCACCTTCATAACACACTGGGCACACCCAATGATGCAGTCTCCTGCACCAGATAGCCTTTGGTTTAGATCAGCAGTTTTCAACCTATGGGTCGCAACCCTTTTTTTTTTGGGAGGGGGGGTCGAACGACCCTTTCAAGACCATTGCAAAACACCTATTTATTGTTTTGAAGTAGCGATGAAAATAATTGTATAGTTGGGGGTTGCCACAACATGAGGATAATTGTTCCTCCTCTGCTGGAGCTGCACGTTCAGTTGTATATTTGAACAAAGAAGACACAAACAATAGACTGCACAATTTATTGCCTGGTATATCTCGCTCTATCTCGTCAGGTGCATGCTACAGTAACAATTGATTAAAATGAAGCAAACAGCTGAATCCTAGAAACTGAAACATAAATTTGAGTTGTATATTTCCCTGTGTGAGTTCTGGGGCCCCTTTGTGGGGAAAAAGAATAGACCTACTGTTCCCCCCACAACAAGTATGTTGTTAAAGGTGTCTTAATTAGAAGTGTTTCCTTCAGAGTTGGACTGCATCTGCTTAAGAAGCCGGGAATCAGCAGTCTGCATATAAATAAACCAGGTCTGTAAAACAAGTGTGCACGCAAAAGTTCTTGAACAAAACCAAAAGTCATAAGGGGACGGGCCAGAACTTTCCTTCAGTTTACAGCCGGTGAATGCTGAGAAGACAAGGAATTGTACATTGAATGTGAAGTTCAGTATCTGTTAACATTTGAGACCACATGGTCGCAGACAGAAGGTGATCAGCTGACATTGTACAAACTTTCTGGTGTTAATGTTAATATTATTGATTCTCTCAGGGTGACCTTGGACACGCCAATGAATCGGAAGTGGATGTCCACAGCAGATTTTTCAACATGGACACCTCTGGATTTTATAGCTGAGTAAGTATGCATGCTTGCTGGCTTGATGATCTTGGGTTTGAATCCATATTATGGCTTTTTAAAAATAATCTAGGGAACACTTAGTATCTACACCTTAAGACATTTGCTGCGGGATACGGGTGTGCGATGATGTCGGTTCTTAAATCAGTAAAATTTAGGGCTCTGCGTCGACCCAGCTTAAAGCGGTTAGTAGGGTTTGTCCTGGGAAGTAGATAGCTGGCATGCATGATACTGACCACATCATGCATCAAGGGCAAGTTGATCTATAAAAATGTGGGTCCAGCACTAAATACTTGGTCCATCATTGGCATGAAAATGGCCCTTACCATTTACTTTTATGTTCATACAGGCATGTTTATTGTTTCTGACAGTAGGCAGTACCAGTACCTCCGCCCCCCTTTTTTTAAAATAAAGATATCACTTTTACAATGCTAATGTGAATACATTCTTTGTGATAGTACCTGCAGCCTTTAAAGGCACTTTGTGGAAAGTATCCGCACCTTTTGTTCTAGAAAGTCATTTGCTGTGTTAGCTGAATGTAATAAGTATAGTGGGTGCCAAGTCTTACTTTAAAAGGTTAAAAAAAAAGACACACTGCCCCTCAACAAGCAGGTCGTAAAAGGCCACTAAATAAAGATTTGCTAAAATTATTTTGGATGGGCTGTAAGGTGCAAATATCACAGCCTGGCTGTGAACAGCATAACCTGTTACCTCCTCCTTTTAGCACAGAAAATAGTCCACAACTCACTCCCATATTTTTTCATTAGTATTTGTAAAATTATGAAGGAAGCTTTATAGAAAGTTTCCGTGGTAAAGTGGTGAAGCTTGCCTCACTCTGAAGGTCGTGGGTTTGCTTCATGGTTGCGTCGTTTGGTTCACGAGTGCAATATTTATGGATATCCCTGGGGAATGTCGCCGGAGCTTCAGAGTTCGTGCCTTGTGTGAGTCTCTCAGCAGGTGGTAAGCCGTTCTGTAAAGATAGCTCCTCTAACTTTAACCACAACTGATGAAATACTGAAATAAAGTGCTAATTGTGTCCATACTTGTACTGCTGCCTAGGTTGTTCTTCAAGTGGCTGAGTGGTGAGAATGTTCCTGCCTCAGGTAGTCTAGTACAACTGCTGACCAAGGATAATAAAACTGAGCTGACCCTGGCCTGAGATGGGACTCCTCTCTGGACTCTACCACATTCCATGACACAGGCAATAAATACTGATTTTATTTCTGTGGTAACCTTAGACTTTGGTAGATATTAGACTCTGATGTTACAGCAGTTTCTGTCTCAGTGTTTGTGAATGTTTAGACTTTCTTAGACTAATATTATAGATCTGTTTCTTTCTAAGGTGTCATGGATGTTTTTACAAGAATTCTGAATCTCGTAGGCAGTAACTAGAAACGCAGAAAAAAAATTATGTTAAAAAAAAAAAAGAAAGAAAAAGGCCTATTTTAAAGGCATGAAAATAACCTTATTTAAGCAATGAAATTTAAAAAAAAAAAGATATTTAAGGATAAAATAAGTAGTCATGATTGAATGGGGGAAAACAAAGACTGCGTGAAGTGTTTTATAATGTAAGAATAGAAGGAGTATCTGAAATTTCTTCTGTCACAATGCTAGTGAAAATGTTTTTATGTTAGGAAGGTAACAGATGGACTTTGAATGATTTCAACAAGTGTGGTACACAATACCTATCACACACTTTATAATTATGGATAGTCTGTTATAAAATCTTGCATGACAATATCTTTCAAAATCAAAATACCATTCATGTTGAAAAGAATATCAAAATGAGCAGAATATGAAAAACAATTACAACACATCATTATATTAATACATATCTGATCAATATAAGTTTTTCCAGCAATGTTTATAAAAAGAAGCCAGATGAATATGAACTACTCAGTAGCAGATCCAATTTGCAAGATAGCAACATGTTTTGATGGAAGATGGTACTTTATATAGAGACTGTCTCAGATATCAACATGTTTTGGTGGAATTTGCTACTTTATATAGAGAAAATGGTGAAACTATGGGGGTGACTGCAGTCAAGCTAATACAATGAATTCCAGAGAAATTTGACTAAAAAGCTCAACAAAATGGGAAAGAGGAAAACGTGCACAAAACAACACAACGTAACGTTTCGGCCAGGCAGCCTTTTTCAAACACAAGTGGACTACACAAACGAGGAATGGAGAGTATGTAGATCTCTAAGGGGTGACGTGAGCGACGTTTAAAAAATGTGATGCGGAATAAATGAAATAAAATAAAATAAACGATGGCTAAAGAATATAGTCACAATACTGGGAATAAAAGAAATGCAAGTGTTAATGATACATAAATGATATTGATAAGAAATAGAATATGGTAATAATATGAAATAAAATAATTAACATTTAAAATGTGATAATATTAGAACTATTTAGATGAAGGTATGTTGGATATTGATACCTCTTGGACTAAGAACGCCAAGGCTGTGGATAAGGCGATTTTCCAAAGCGAGGCGGGTAGTATGATCGCCAGAGCAAGATTTTAATGCTGTGACAGATATGTCATCTTTACTGCTGTGGTCAGGGCTATTAAAATGAAGAGGGATTGGTTTGAGTGTCTTCTTGTCGATATCAGAGAGGTGTTCCCGGAAACGATCAGCTAGCTTCCTGCCAGTCTCCCCAATGTATGCCATGCTGCATCGTTTGCAGATAATTGCATAAATTACGTTGCAGGATTCGCAAGTAAAAGGTTCCCTAATTTAAAAAAAGAACCATTAGGGAAACTGACCGAAGAAGTCTGGACAACGAAAGGACATGTTTTGCAGGTGCTGCGTGAGCACTGAGTAGTCCCAAGAGGAAGTGCTGTATGGATCGGTGGGAGTCGGCTTCGGACAAGTATGTCTTTAAGGTTGCGATCTCGTCTGTAAACTAATCTAGGTTTCTCACTAAAGATAATCTTGGTGTCCGGATCAGAGCGGAGGATGTCCAAATGACGAAAGAATACTTTGGAAGCAACCACATTGTTAGGGTGAAAAGTCAAGATCAATTTAGGTCCATCATTGGTGGAGTTACGTTTGGTAGGAAAAGCATCTCTCCTGGTGATTGCTAAAACTTTGTTGAGAGCCCCTTGTAGAATGTGTTCCGGATAGAAACGGGCACGGAAGAATTCAAGAAGTTCAACTGATTTATCAAAGAGGTCAGAATCGTCAGAGCACAACCTGCGCAATCGAAGGAGCTGTGAATATGAGTATAGAGACTGTGTGCCAAAAAGCAACATGTTTTGATGGAAGATGCTACTTTATATAGAGACTGTGCCAAAAAGCAACATGTTTTGATGGAAGATGCTACTTTATATATAGACAGTGTGTCAGATAGCAACATGTGTTGATGGAAGTTGCTACTTTATATAGAGACAGTGTGCCAGATAGCAACATGTTTTGATGGAAGTTGCTACTTTATATAGAGACAGTGTGCCAGCAGAGAACAGAAATATCCAGATGGAACACAAAAGATCAGAAAGGGCTGTCTCGGGCAACAGATGTCTGAAGTTGGATGTGTAAGCACAAATGTCAGCTATTGTACAAGCAGGAACAACTCATTGATGTCTTAGGATGAATGCAGAAAGAGATAGCTATTATTTTAACCCAAGAAAAGTTATAAATAAATTATCTGTGGAGAAAGGTTTTTAGTGATTTGGGTTGTCTTTATGGCACTGCAGACACGTCCGTAGATGCTCAGATTCCAGTTGATAGCGCCAGTCTTACCCTGGTTGACAAGACTTCATTTGCATCCTGTGTGCCTCTTGTCTGGCTTTGCCGATCTTTACTCCCAATTCTCGCATTCTCAGCAGCCGTACGGACATGTTGCTCTTAAAACCATCCGATAATCCTGTCTAAGTTCATTAACAGTGCCGGCAGCTAAGGCAGAGGTGGCCACTCCATCATCTCTTTCATTGCCAGTAACACATGCATTCTCAGGGATGAAGATGAAGTTAACTCCAAGCACACTGGAGTTTTGCTATGACTCAGTCCACTGTCTGTGCGCAGAGCTTGCCTCAACCCACTGGATCATGCTTATCAGCTCTCTGATTCCATTTTGAGTTGAATGTGACGTAGTAGTATCATTTACGTTAATTGTGTTCACATTTTTGGCTTGTAAGTAATTGTTAAAATTAACATTTTCTTGATGTTTTCAAATAGACTTAATGTGACCCTAGCTAAATACCTTTAAAAACACCCGACACCTGCTCTCATATATAGTAAAGTTTATATTGTATTGATCGCAGTTATGAATAAACTTGAATAGATGTTATATTTGTCATGTTCTTTAATGGATCAATGTGATGTTGCTGTTTTTAAAACATAGTGCACTCTAGAGAAAACAGTTGAGTTATGGTTCCCAGAAGAGTTCAAGGCTGACCAATGGCAATTTCAGTTGGGCAAAAGCTGGAGAGATCTCAGACCTTGCCATGACCACTGGTTTTGTATCTGAATCTGAAATCACAATCTGAGAATGGTGGAGTGTGAGTGTGTATGTATACTTTTATACACACACGCACACATATATGTATATATACATATATATGTAAGTTTGTGTATATATATGTATGTATACATACATACATACATACATACATACATACATACATACACACACATAATATACAGCATTTTAGAACATTAGGTCTAAGATAAAAATTCAGTGTAAAATATTCAGCTGTTGGAGCTAACAACAATTGTCATAAAAAATACAGTGGTTATGTTTACTCAAACCTGTCAGATACAGATGTTTTCAAGAGACAGTCAATGGAAAGAGAGTTATTGAAGAAATAAAAACTAGTGAAATATTTTGACCTCATTAAAAGACCCATAAAAGGTTCTGGTCAAACCCATACTGAAGGGAACAGTTCAGCAAGCAAGTGGAATAGCAGTCTTGGAGAGTAGATAACCAGGATGAGAAACTGTGTGTTGGAAATCCATTTGCAACCAACTTTTGTTGTGGAGATGGCACCTGATGGATTGATTGATGTTTAATTTGTTTAGAAAAATGTACAACCTATTAGGATGATTGTTTACCCTGCCTTTCATGTGTTGACTGCTATTTAATCCATGAATGTTCCCATGGCTTATATATATTGGTTGTGAAGCATTTTTGTTTACTTATTATGACCCATGAAATTAGGCATTTCATTGCACATTTTACTATGCAGCTGTGTAATTATTTACTTTCTTTCTGCTCTGATTTTATTAGTTTTTGGGTGATTGGGTTTGTTTGATATAAGGTATTGGCATTGTATGTTACACTGAGAGATTCTGCCATGGTAGTAGGCTCATTATATATAAGGTTAGTTGCGTATCCTTTACAGGACGTTGCAGAACTAACCCCAACAGCCCCTGGCTGTTGTGTGGTTTTTCTAGGCATATTTATGTCCAGTAGTTTGCCATTGCTTTCTGGATGGTCAGCTTTATTGATACCACTGTCGAAGCCAGCGCATGGCCTGGAGCTGGGATCGATCCTGGCATTACGAAGTGTTCGCATTGACTTAGCCACAGAGCCAACCATTATATATAGATCAGTTTGTGACAGTTTGTCTTCTTTATGAGATATCATTGTAATAATGGATGCAGATGCATTAGAGACTGGAAGTAACTAAGAAAATGGCCACTCTTATCAAAAATCCAGCGGGAAGATTAGCATCCTTTGTATATTTTCTCCAGCCGGTGTGTTGGGAAATGAGTAGACAGATATACTGGCTGGCCCTGCACCACTTGGTGATGAATTGATGTATGACAAGTAAGATATTGTCAAGGCCCTTTAGGAGCCAGTGAACAGTGCGGAGGCGCAGATAGATCATTATAGTCTAAGGAGAATGGCACTGCAAGGAGTTGCCAGGGGATCTGGCCGACGCTCAGGGGAAGGGCGAAACGGATATACAATCAAAACAGTTACTGGTACCATCGGAATAGGAACTCTTTGCTTGCTACTGAAGATGGGGACTGAGCACTTTTGGGAGTGTCCCGAGTGCTGTGATGTTGATTCTTTTTCAACGAAGAGAGAAATTAGCAATAACAGACATGTTTGGATGTCAGTTTGAAGATATCAAGAGGTAGAATAACAGTTCTCCAGTGTATATGAGCTGCCGTGGTGCACCGGCCAGACGCTACTCAGATAATAT